AATAACATATATATCATTTTTCTATAATCAAAACTCATAAAGATATTGATAAAAAACATAAAATATCTAAAAATCATTTTTGTATATTCTTCTTTTATATTCATTTTAATGTTTCTGTTCTAGGTTCTTGTTTTTTATTAATAATTTTTATTAGTAAATAAATCTTCTTGCTTGGGATATTAAGATATAAACTTGATATATTTTGAGTTAGATCTTTATATCTACACTTTGGCTCTTGGGGTATCCTTCAATTATTCCAAAATAATATTTTATAATTTTTATACTTACATCTTGGTTTGTGGGAAATTATAATTTTTATATCCAAAACTTTGCTGAGATAACTCAATATACATCTGGATTTATATCAGAATAACTATTCTAATATATCTTGGTCTCAGCTAGAATAACTATTCCAATATATCTGAGTCTTTAACAGGATAACTATTCTAATATATCTAGATCTTTACCAGGATAACTATTTTAAATTGTCTGTCTTTTCTTAAGATAACTAAATTTATTTTTATATTTTTATTAATATGTATATAGTTAAACCTTTCAAGCATTAATGTCTAAAAGTACTTAATAGAATCTTTCTAGCTTGAATAATAAAATTAAATTTTTTTTAAGATTATTTTTATAAGAATAGAAATATACCATCAGTCACTTTTGTTCAGAAATAATAAACTATTTTAAAAATGTCTTTTGTTAAGAGAGAAGGGAGAAGAGTCTAAGAACTACCTACATTCAGATCTTATTCTAACTAAACTAAGCAATAAAATTTAAATAAAATTTATTTTTATAAAATAATCTTATAATCAAAATATGTTAATAGTTATGAAGAATGTTCTTGTTAATATATCATTATCTCTTCTATATAATAGTCAAGTAATTATCTCTTTTGGTATCTTTAACCAGTATAGAACCAAAAAGAAATGAGATATCTGAAATCATGTAGTGTTATAAGGTCTGAAAAAAAAATTCTAAAGTTTTCATCTATATAGCATAATAAAGAAAAATTATTCTAAGAATACATTTTTACAAAAGTATCTTAAATATAATGTTGGCAATAAGTAACCATGTCTTGTGTCCTTAATTAAAGTTGTAGAACAGACTTCTACAATTCTAACACTAATTGAAATGTTAAAATTAGTCTAGTAGTTAACATTCTATAATAATTTAAAGAAATTCTGAATCTCTTATTTTTCTCTCTTCTAAGTTCAATGAAGGATTTTATAGATGCAGAAAAATGTCATCACTACTTTGGAAGTAGTTTATGAGTTAGAAAGCATTTTTGTATTAGGATATAGTATAATAAAATTTGTAGAGTGGCTTTTTGTGAATATGCTTATATGTATTATATCTTAGTAGGATTAAAACTCATCAAGATATTAAAGAAAAACAAAATATATTCAAAATCATTATTATAAAATTTCTTTTCACTTTTTTTAGATGTTTGTACTAAGTTAATAGGTCTTAATATTTAGATGAAAAATATAAAGAGACTTTTTATGAATCTAAAGAAGATGAGTTCATTTAAAACAGACAAATAGATAATGAGATATTTTGGATCAAAGTTTGTGTACTAATATTTGAAAAAAAAATTTTTAAAGAAATTGTTTGTAACAAGAAGAGAATTAAAACTTTAACAGTTTATAAAAGATCAGTAAAGTATTTTGTTACTAAGTAACCTATATATTAAAATGTAAAAAAAACATTCAAGAATCTAAAAAAGATAAGATTTTGAAAATAGAATAAAAATTTATAGAGATATTAAAGAAAAATGATAATCAACTAATTTTTTATTTTTTCATCAAAGAAAATTTGTTAGATTCATCTAAAAATTTTTTTTGTATTTCTACCAGAAGGTACCAAATGTTATAGAGTGGAAGCCTTCTTATTTTCATATTACAACAATAACATAACATAAGAAATCTCTTATAGGTATATGTGATGTTCAAGAGTGAAGTATAGCTTCTGTTAGATATTATCAAGAAACATATCCATCTTTGAGGCAGTTTAATAATTTTTACATAGTAATTTATAGTTAAAGTTATTTATTAAATACTTGCAAAAAAGATTATCCTTAGACACCTGTTCTAAAGAATTCAAAATATAAATTACAAAATAAAGAAGAAGAAGAATTGTTTGTTTCTTGTTAACTGAATTCTTCTTTTTATTTAGGAAAATTTAAAAGGTTTATATATCTGTGAGCTAAGTGACTAAGCAACTAAGAGACTAAGTAATTAGTTTTATTAAGGAACTAAGCAACTAGTTTCACTAAAACACTAAGTAACCAGTTTCACTAAAGGACTAAGTAATCAGTTTTACTAAGAAACTAAATGACTGGTTTTACTAAAAGACTAAGCAACTAGTTTTACTAAGAGACTAAATGACTAGTATTACAAGCTTAAGGCATTAAAATGTTTAAAGCATTAAAGTAACTATAACTAATAAATAATACAATAATAGAAATCTATCCTATAACAGCATGACAAATCTTGAAGATTCTTAAGTTGTCTCTATGTGATCAGATTGTCACCTTCTATATTTATGAGTTAGTTCAGATATACTAACTCCCATTTATTTATTATATTGCTGCTTGCTATTCATGTTTTTGTTTCCAACATATCTCTTATCTATTTACATATCTATAAACTTTCTATAGAGGTTTTTCTGATTTAATGTTTATTCATATTTCTTTTGTTTTAGTTATTATTTGACAGACTAAATTGTTCTTCTAAAACTTCTTAACTTCTATTTTTTTTTTATTGTTCCAAATGTTACCTATTAGGCCTGCTTTCTGATATCCTTGAGTTATTCTTAGTCTTGTTAATTCACCCACATTATCTTGTCTATTGAGTCTTAAAAAAAGACTGCTTATTTGCTTTGTCATTATTTCTTAGCTTAGTGTTTTGCAATTTTCTAGACCTTTGTATTCAATTATGCAATTGTTTGATGTTCTTATTATATTGTATTTATGCTTAGCTAAGCATATTAGCAGTTGATGTATTTTGTTAATCATTCTCTCTGGCATTTTTGTTAGTTATAAGAAATATCCTAGTTTAGAAATTATTACTGTACTATTTATATATACTATTTGGCTCATCATTATCTTTTTGTATCTCAGATCTTTAACTGTTTGGCTAACTATTCCTTTTGCTTTCTTATAAACTAGTGCTTCTTTCATTCTGCTATTTGCCAGATTCTTAATAATCTTACAATTTTGTTTTTAGATTCTTTTCTTATTTTATTATATCCAAACATGATTTCTTTTTTTTCTTCTTTCATTCTTGTATTTATTACTATGAGCTTTGATTTGGATCTATTTATTTCAATGTTATTTATTTTAAAGAACTCTTCTGCAATGCTTAGAATTTTTAACATTTGTTTTTTGCTGTTTGTGATTGATGTTGTGTTATTAGCATATGCAATTGCTACTTGCTTATAACTTGTAATATTATTACTATATACTCTTTCTGTTATTTTTTGTTCTACTATATAGCTAAGTGTTTTATTGTCTTGTATTCTTTCTAATAATGGATCATAGAAAAGATGCCAAATTAGTAGTGAAATTACTTTTTCTTGGTCTATTCCATTCTCTGCTATTATTTCTTTTGTTAACCTATAAGCTGTGATAACTTTGAGTTTCTATTTACAAAAAAGATTGCTTATGTATTTTCTTATTTGTTATAAAATTTTGACTCTTTTTAGGGCCTATTTTAGACTTTCTAATAGATTTGAGATAAATACCTTTTTCATATCTTGTAACAGTATCCATATTTCTTTGTTCTTTTCTTATGCCTTCTTTATTATTATGTTTAGTATATGTATTTGTTGCTCTGTTGAATTATCTGACAGATCTGCATAATTTGATCCTTTAAGTATATTTCTTTCTGTAAACACTCTGACTAATTTATTTGTTACTACTTTCATGACAACTTTTCTAAAGATCTTAATTAATACTATTGTTTTGATATTGTTTAAGTAGTAATCCCAGTCTATGTCTTTTGGAATTAGATATATTTGTGTAATTTTTTACTTCTTTGATATGTTTTTTTTTCTAGAATTAGATTCACAAAGGCTTTAAAAATTCTTTGTAATCTCTTCTTCACATGTTTTATTAATATATAGCTTATGCCTAATATTCCTGAGACTGTATTTACTTTGAGCTCTCTAAGTATTTCTTTCTATTCTTTTTCTTTTATTTTTTCTTTTAATTTCTTATACCAGGTCTTATTAATCTAATCTTTTGAATTATATCCTCTTTTTTATTCTTCTGTCATTTCTTCAAGTTTATTTCTTTATTTTCTAAATTGGTCTTTAAAATAAGCTGTTAAACTATTTAGGACTGTATTTGGTTCTGATATTAGATTGACTTCTTCTTTGTTTTGTGTTATAAATCTGTCTAGAACAATCTTTTTGTATAGTTTGTTTAGTAAGCTGGCAATTATTTGACTTTGCTCTGTTTTAATTATTTCACATCTTCTGTTTATATTTTCTTCTATCTGTTTTCTTTGTGCTTGTTCCTATTTCTTTATTTTTTCTTTTTAATTATTCTTTGCCAGCCTTTTATATCATCTATCTAGGCTTCTGACTATTGCCTATATAGTTTTGGCAGTGTTGCTTTTAGCTCTTTCTCTATACTTTGGAGTTTGTTGTTTATTTTAGCTCTTTCATTCTTTTTTATTTCTTGATTCTTTTACTTTTTGCTTTTTTAATTATTTGCTAAAGTTTAATAATATGTTTGTGTTTCTTTGTTTTTTTTGGATCCCTATCATTTCTCCAACATTGATTTCCCTGACAATCACTTCCCCAGCAAATCATCTCCCCGACACACTCATTTTCCCGACATTTATTTCTTCGACAAATCATTTTCTCAACACAATCCTTTCCCCGACACAATCATTTCCCCGACAAATCATTTTCCCGACACAATCATTTCCTCGACAAATCATTTCCCTGACACAATCATTTCCCCGACAAATCATTTTTCCAACAAATCATTTCCTTGATAAATCATTTCCCTGACACAATTATTAAAGATTTCGTTAAAAATTTTTTTTAAAAATAAATTAATCTATATTTATTATACTGTAATATTTTTATGCCGTATTTTGACAGTACTATTTATATGTGATTTAAAGTTATGCTATATTAAAAGTTATGTATTTATTAGTACTATTTACATGTAATTCAAAGTTATGTTATATTAAAAGTTATGTTATTAATTAAAATTACGATTTTATTTAAAGTTAGGGTCAGGGTTAGAGTTGAGTTAGGGTTAGAACAATGCATTACATGTAGTAAAATTTGGTAAAGAATTTTTTTAATTAGAACCTGAAAGATGGTGAAGTTTCAAGTTATTTTTAGCCAATCTCAGCTTCAGCAATCACAATAAATAAACTATGGTATGTATATACGTAATAAATCAGATTCAATATTTACAATGACTAATTTTTTGTTTTTGCCTTTTTTTTTAAATTATAATTTATCTGATCTTTCTTGACCCAGCGGCTGGAACTTGAAATAAGACAGGAAAACTAGTCTTTACAATAAGTATCCCTCTTACCTGTTTTTTATTTTTTTTAATTCTATTTTAAATGAAACTAATCTTTCTACTTTCTGTGTCTTTGACTTAAATCGACTGCAGATCCAAAAATAAGATATGAAAACTTGCTATAATAAGTATCAGTTCTTTTCTCTTCTTGCTTTTTTTTTTTTAATTATAAGTTGGCTAGTTCAACATAACATTTTGGGGCACCTATATTAAATTCAGGTTGCAAACTATTACAAATCTTTATTGCTAATTCAGCATCAAAATTGTAACCATCGAAAGACCTTTGACCAGTTGATATTTCTATCATAATAATCTTAAAACTGTAAATATCAGCAGCTTGAGTGAATCGTTCACCTTTCAAGATCTCAGATGCTAAATATGGTAAAACTCCATAAATATGACCTTGTTTTTTATTAAATGTTATTGATAAACCTAAATCGGTAATATAAGCTTTATATTGTTCTTTTAATAAAATATTACCTGAATATAAATCTCGGTGCATAAATTTCTTTGAATAATATGTGATAGGTCATAAACAATATCGCTCCACTCCAGCTTAAATATTCCTTTCATATTTTCATGCAATAATCCAAATTTCGTGTAACTCATCACTAAAATAAAATCTCCAGTATTCTTATCCATTAATATGCTATAATATTTCCCAAGTTAATGATGCGCCTTTAACTAAAATTGACAAATTACCAGATCCATATTCATAACATCCAACATTATATATCGCACCAGCGTGCCCCATCTCTGCAGATTCTTGATAATAAATTAATTCCTTATGTTCATTCTTTTCAACTCCAATTCTGTGATTATAACAATATCCAACATTCTTTATCGCAGCAGCGTCTCCCATTTCAGCAGATTTTTGATAATAAATAAATGCATTATCTTTATCCTGTTCAACACCATTTCTGTATTCATAACAATATCCAACTTTACGCATTCTGCTATTTCGGCAGATTTCTGATAATAAATGAATGCTTTATGTTCATTCATTTCAACCCATTTGCCATGCTTATAACAAAATGTGAGAATGAATTGAACCATAGGATCGAATCAATTATTTAAGCAATATTATTCGAATTTTGCTTTTTTTTTACTAGAAATTGTTCTAAGGTGTCAAGAATTGAATTGTCATATTTGCCTTTCAAAATTTCTTCATTATACAGTTTATACATTTCTTTAATGACTTAAATCGGCAGCAGATCTAAAAATAAGACGGAAACTTGTTAAGTTCATTTCTCTTTTTTTTTTTTTTAATCATAAGTTATCAGAACTAACCTCATCTTTCTTGACTTAATGATAGAGCTTGAAATGAGACAGGAGGAATGGTCTTTATGATAAGTATCCCTTTTGCTTTTTTTTTCCTACCTAATCCTATTTTACTAATCTTTCTACTTTCTGTATTTTTGGCTTAAATCAGCAGCAGATTGGCAGCAGATCTAAAAATAAGACAGGAAACTTGTTGCATAGAATTGTTAAACATTCATGCCGAATGACTTGACTCCAAAAGCTGAATAAGTATCAGACTCAGACTCAAGTAAAAATTATGCGATAAAAAAAATATAATTGGTTTAATACAATTCGATGTATGTACATGCTTAAATATGTACTATATATAAAATTTTACAATTTGTATAAATTAAAAACCGCTCTTGACAAAAATCAGGTTTATTGAAGTCAACTTAAAAAGCTCGACTTGAAAGCTGACTAAACCAAGCCGTTTAACATTCTATCTTTATGATAATATCCCTCTTACTTTTTTCTTCTTTCTAATTTTATTTTATTTCACTTTTTCAAGTTAATTTAGTGTGTGAGTAAAAAACATCTACTTTACAGAAACCTAAATATCATAATATGCAGCAACTGACATAGTAATTGTAACTATATAATTGCTATGCAGCTACTGCTATCAAGAGATAGTGCTTTACATATTCAATTATGAGTATTTGCTATTTAATTTCACTTTATTCATGTTAATATAGTGCATGAGTATTAAAATAATTGGTTTTTAAGTATTTAAAATAAACTATCCAGATTATGAATATATGAGAGTAATGCAATTGGAAAATGTGTACCAGGTTGGTGGCGCAGACAAAATTCTTAAAATTCGTTAAGATTAGGGTTAGGGTCAGGGTTAAGAACTAGAGAATAATAGTTTTAATAGTAAAATTGTCCAACGAAAACTTTTTGTTAGAGCACAAAACATAACAAACGTGAACATTTGTTTTGAATCTTCTTGATTATGTTATGTTACACCTGATCTTGAAAGCTGATTCGTAGATCAGAAGAACTACGTCACCAACCTGGTATACATTTTCTGAAGACAATCTATTACCAAAGTCTAAAAGTGTTTAAAATAAGCTTTTTATAAGTATTTACTATTTAATTTCATTTGTTCACATTAGTTTAGTGCCAAATTACGTAATTAGTGAATAATCGATGACATACATACAGAAAATCTTTAATTTATCAATATAACAAATATTATACATTAATTTAATAATACGTATGTATGTAAAATTATTAATATATTGATAAATTAATTTAATTCTGCATCCATACCCTATGACTAAATAAAGATTTTTAATAATAAATTCGATTCATTATTATTAAAAAACTAATATAAAGCGAAAGCATTCAAAAAGTATATATATAATATTAGTAAAAGCCAGACTAATTAATAAATCCAATTTTTAAAAATCATATTACTGCTTATTTGTCTTGGTTTCAATAAAACATTATACTTGTGAAATTATTCCTTCAATCCGTGAAAACCCTACGATCAATGTTTATGGTTTTATTATGATAAAAGATAAAAACAGAAGAGATTTATATTATTAGTGTTGTGAGAAGCATGATACTTTTTATTGTAATGGGCATGCTACTACTATACTAGTTAGAGATGAACACATTTTGCAACAAATGGGAGGACATAATCATTCTGCTGATTCAAGTCAAGCTGGTGTCAGAAAATTAACTAATTAAATAAAAGAACAAGCAAAACAAACTCTTAGTCCTCTATTGCAAATTATTCAATTTGTTATCACAATTAACCCCCAAAATATTTATCCCTATATCCCATCTTATGATGCACTCTGCCAAACAATTCGAAGAATTCGACGTTCAGGCTTTCCTTCTGGATCAAATTCATTAGATGAATTTGTCATTCCTGATGACTTAAAAAAGACTTTCGATAGCTCTGACTTCTTAATTAAAGATTCGACTATTGGTAGTAAAAGAATTTTACTTTTTACTACAGCTTCGAATATTCGATATTTAAGCCAATCTTTAGTTTGGTTAATGGATGGAACCTTTGATACTGTGCCAACTATTTTTCGACAATTATATATGATCCACGGGTTTGTTAGGGGAAATAGTAATTCCCGAATCCTGCCTCTTGTATATGTCTTGATGTCTAGTAAGTCAGAAAGTTGTTATAACAGACTGTTTCAAGACTTAATAGACTTTAGCAAAGTTCACGATATTCATTTACAATCTGAATTCGTTTTGACAGATTTTGAGCTCGCTTCTATAAATGCATTACAACAAGGTATTTATTATATTATTTAATAATATATACTGGTGTTTTATTATTAACCAACAACTCGGTAGTCCCATCACTATGTGTATGTACTATGTAGAACTTTTAAAACACCTGGTATTAGCTAATTCATATACATGCATATATATACATTTATTTATTTTATATTTAGAATTTCCTAGTACCCGAAGCAAGGGGTGTTTCTTTCATTTGTCTCAGAGTGTCTATTGAAGAATTCAAGCTGCTCACCTAGTTGATCGGTATGGAGATGATGAAGATTTTAGTATAGAAATTCGCAAAATTCCTGCACTTGCTTTCCTGCTCCCAGGTGAAATCCCTAATGCTTTTGATGAGTTAAAAAGCAATATTCCAGAGGAAGCAAATTCAATTGTTGAGTGGTTTGAAGAGAACTATATTTACTGCCATGTAAGACAAGTATCCAGAAATGGGCATGTGACTTGGAGAGACTCATTATTTCCACCTTCTTTCTGGTCAGTTTATGAGAATAATGAATATGATTTTCCTAGAACTAATAATTCTGTTGAATCTTGGCATAGAAGGTGGGCAACTCTAATTGGCTCGAAAAATTAAAATATCTTTAAATTTATACAAGAGATTCAAAAAGAACAACATCGAGTCCAACTTGATATAGAAGCTATTTTAAGAGGGGCACCAAGGCCTTTTCAAGAAAAACAAAATAAAATACGTGAATTACAAATTCAAGCGGTCTTAGATGATCGTGATAGTATGCCACTAATAGACTTTCTTCGAGGGATTGCTCACAATCTTTCACTATAGATTGCATATATTTATTTATTATTAAACTTAAATAAAGTTGCGCCATAATTTCTAATCGATTACTACATTATCACTTCAGTTTAATTTCATCCCACTTATCATATCTGTCCATTATTATCTCATTACTCAATATTCATAGCTGCTTCACTTTAATTCTATTGCTTACTTCATTTTTAACATTTGCATATATCGTAAGAACTGAATATATATATATCTTGATCATATGAACATAAATATGTAAAAAGAAATCCGATATACCCGAATAATAATAAATTAAAGTTACTTGCTTAAATTGCTAAATTGCACAACATTAAATTACAAAAACAAGTCCCGTGTTCCTACATTCTTAAGTATAATTCTACGTATTATATGCTTGTGGTCTAATGTATAGGTAATACCTGTAATATGCAAGAGTTAATATAACATGTGTATATTATATTTTAACAATAGTCCCTGCCAATCTCTGGTTTTTCTGGTGTATCTGGTTTTGGGCATAAATGAGCCTATTCCTATATTCATTTAACTCTTTTTTCCCAATATTATCGCTTTTTGTAGTGTGTCTGTCATTTACCAATATCAAATGACAGTCTATACTGAAGTTCACCAGGGCCAATAAACATTTCAACAGAGATTACAGAAAATGAAAAATAAGTTAGCCTTAGTAAATTCAAAAAAAAAAGCAAGAACGAGAAAAGAACTGATACTTATTATAGCAAGTTTCCTGTCTTATTTTTAGATTTGCTGCCGATTTAAGCCAAAAATACAGAAAGTAAAAAGATTAGTAAAATAGAATTAGGTAGGAAAAAAAAAGCAAAAGGGATACTTATCATAAAGACCATTCCTCCTGTCTCATTTCAAGCTCTATTATTAAGTCAAGAAAGATGAGGTTAATTCTGATAACTTATGATTAAAAAAAAAAAAAAGAGAAACAAACTTAACAAGTTTCTGTCTTATTTTTAGATCTGCTGCCGATTTAAGTCATTAAAGAAATGTATAAACTGTATAATGAAGAAATTTTGAAAGGCAAATATGACAATTCAATTCTTGACACCTTAGAACAATTTCTAGTAAAAAAAAAGCAAAATTCGAATAATATTGCTTAAATAATTGATTCGATCCTATGGTTCAATTCATTCTCACATTTTGTTATAAGCATGGCAAATGGGTTGAAATGAATGAACATAAAGCATTCATTTATTATCAGAAATCTGCCGAAATAGCAGAATGCATAAAGTTGGATATTGTTATGAATACGGAAATAGTGTTGAACAGGATAAAGATAATGCATTTATTTATTAGCAAAAATCTGCTGAAATGGGAGACGCTGCTGCGATAAAGAATGTTGGATATTGTTATGATTACAGAATTGGAGTTGAAAAGAATGAACATAAGGGATTAATTTATTATCAAGAATCTGCAGAGATGGGGCATGCTGGTGCGATATATAATGTTGGATGTTATGAATATGGATCTGGTAATTTGTCAATTTTAGTTAAAGGCGCATCACTAACTTAGAAAATATTATGGCATATTAATGGATAAGAATACTGGAGATTTTATTTTAGTGATGAGTTACATGAAATTTGGATCATTGCATGAAAATATGAAAGGAATATTTAAGCTGAAGTGGAGTGATATTGTTTATGACCTATCACATATTCATTTAAAGAAATTTATACACTGAGATTTATATTCAGGTAATATTTTATTAAAAGAACAATATAAAGCTTATATTACCGATTTAGGTTTATCAATAACATTTAATGAAAAACAAGGTCATATTTATAGAGTTTTACCATATTTAGCATCTGAGGTCTTGAAAGGTGAACGATTCACTCAAGCTGCTGATATTTACAGTTTTGGGATTATTATGATAGAAATATCAACTGGTCAAAGGCCTTTCGATGGTTACAATTTTGATGCTGAATTAGCAATAAAGATTTGTAATAGTTTGTGATCTGAATTTAATATAGGTGCCCCAAAATGTTATGTTGAACTAGCCAACTTATAATTAAAAAAAAAAAAAGCAAGAAGAGAAAAGAACTGATACTTATCATAGCAAGTTTTCCTGTTTTATTTTTGGATCTGCAGTCGATTTAAGCCAAAGATGCAGAAAGTAGAAAGATTAGTTTCATTTAAAATAGAATTAAAAAAAAATAAAAAACAGGTAAGAGGGATACTTATTGTAAAGACCAGTTTTCCTGTCTTATTTTAAGTTCCAGCCGCTGGGTCAAGAAAGATCGGATAAATTATAATTTAAAAAAAAAGGCAAAAACAAAAAATTAGTCATTGTAAATATTGAATCTGATTTATTATATATATACATACCGTAGTTTATTTATTGTAGTTGCTGAAGCTGAGATTGGCTAAAAATAACTTGAAACTTCACCATCTTTTAGGTTCTAATTAAAAAATTCTTCGCTAAATTTTACTACATGTAATGCATTGTTCTAACCCTAACTCAACTCTAACCCTGACCCTAACTTTAAATAAAATCATAATTTTAATTAATAACATAACTTTTAATATAACATAACTTTAAATTACATGTAAATAGTACTGATAAATACATAACTTTTAATATAGCGTAACTTTAAATCACATATAAATAGTACTGTCAAAATACGGCATAAAAATATTACAGTATAATAAATATAGATTAATTTATTTTTAAAAAAAATTTTTAACGAAATCTTTAATGATTGTGTCGGGGAAATGATTTATCAAGAAAATGATTTGTCAGAAAAATGATTTGTCAGAGAAATGATTTGTCAGAGAAATGATTTGTCGGAGAAATGATTTGTTGGGGAAATGATTATGTCGGAGAAATGATTTGTCGGGGAAATGATTGTGTCAGGGAAAGGATTGTGTGGGGAAATGATTTGTCAAAAAAATAAATGTCGGGGAAATGAGTGTGTCAGGGAGATGATTTGGTGAGGAAGTGATTGTCGAGGAAATCAATGTCAGGAAAATGATAAAAATCCGTTTTTTTTCAATTTAGTCTTCTATTTAACTTAATGTTGAATTTTCTTTTTTTTGAAATTTACTTGTTTGACCTGTAGGTTGATAGTGAAGTGGTTACACTCCCAGGTTACTAATCGCAAGGTTGCTGGTTCAATTCCAATAGGGGACAAAAAACTGAGTTAGAACTATGATTGTTGATTAACCACAGCAGATGATGCAATATAAAAATAGAAAGATCTTTAGTATCCAGATCCTTAAATAGGAATGGACCTAATATAAGAAGGCCATGATGATTAGAGGACTGAGAATAATAATAGAACAAAGAAATCTCTGATTAGAAATAGTCCTAGTGAAATTCCAGGATAATAGAAACACAAAATTAGTATATAGATAGTACTGTAAATGTATATAAATAAAAATGTAAAATGTAGGTGGGGTCCTGATAGAAGGTTCCATGAACTTGAAAATTTGAACTAATAAAATAGCTGCCAACTGCGGCCCACTAGCGACTAGGCAGTGGAAATTCAAAAAAAAAAAATTTACTTGTTTGCTACTTCACTTATAGCTTCTTCTATAATATTTCACATCTGGTTTAGTATTTCTGTATTATATTCTGTTTTTACATTATCATCTTCTAGTCATTTTAATACTCTTTTTCATTTTAACTAATTTTGTAGCTCTCTTGTGTAGTCTTCCCAGTCTTTTTGTTTTGCTTCTTCATATAAATATATTGTTTTTGTTTGGTCTTTCTGTTTAATTTCTGCCCTACTACTGTTTGCAATTATATGTTCTACTTATATCTCTGTTGTTATTATCTTGTGATTACTATCTGTCAAACCTTCTGCTTCTTCAATATTAGTTTCTTGTAGACATAATGCTAGTGTTTCTGACAGCCAAATATAATCTATTCTTGTCACTATCTCTTGATTTGACCATGTGTATGCTTTTTTTGTCAAGTGCAGATTTCTGTATAAATCTATAAAGTTTTGTCTTCTGAGCCAGCTAAATATTGGCAGTTTTTTGTAGTTTAATGTTTGCAGGTATTGTCTGTCTAGTATATTATCTACTGTGTTATTAAAATCACCAAGTATAATTACTTCTGTATATCTTTTTCTGCTTGTTACTACCTTTATGATTCTTTGTTGTATTTTCTTACTAATTGATTTGTTATTTGGTAGAATGTATACTCCCAGTACTACTAATTCTAATTGTTTAAAATATAATCTCATCTTTAGCATATATTTGCTAACTCTTTTAACTGCTCCTACATGCTTTTTCTACTTTTTATTTATTAGTATTTCTATGCTTGAACTTTTCTTTTTATTTATTACTGCACTAGTCCAATATTTCTTATACTGTGTATTATAACTATGTAGTAAAAATTTCTCTTCTCTTTCTATAATATTTGTTTCTATTATTCTCATTATTGTGAATTCTTTTTTTTTGCTCATTCTGAAAGGTTACCTATTTTCTATTCTCTAGTTTTAAGTTCATTAATATTGTGACATACTACTTTTAATTTTTTCTTTCTCTGTTTTCATTCTTTTTTTAAACATTTATATTTTGTTTCTATGCTTTCTACTTTTTTTTTTCTTTTTCTTTTGGTTTTTCATTATAACTAGGAGATGTCTTTATATTTCTTTCTTCAAAAATTCTTCTTTCACTATGCAAAAACTCTCTGATCTTCTGGTCTATGTTTATTAATTTAACTATAGCAATATTAGAACCAATTGGTAATATCTTTTTTTGTCTTCCATTTGATCTTGTTTTGTTGTGCTTTAAGTCTTTTTAGTTTCTCAAGAATTCTTTCTAGAAGGTTCTGGTTCTGTATTTGTGGATCTTCTTTCTCTGTATTAATATTTTCATCACCTAACCATTCTACTATGTCTTGTATTTGGTAATCATTTTCTATTCTATGTGTCTCTTGTTTGAGTTTTGACTGCTTTTGTTTTTGCTTTTTTCTTTTCTTTTATTTGTATTTCTATTCTCTAAATCTTCTCTTCTTATTTCTGCAAAACTTTTACTTGAATTTTGGATTATTCTGTCTCAGTTTCTTTTTCTTCTTTCCTAAAAAACTTCTTTTCTTTTAACTTTTTTTTTCCTTTCATTTGATCAGAATACACAAAAGTTGTTATACATGATTAGTATTGATTGAGCTGTTTCTTTTTCTTTTTCTGTTGCAAATAAGATTATTGCAGTTCTTCTTTGGTTTTCATTTTTATTTAGTAGAATATACACCAATTTTGCATTTTTATTCCTCAAACATTATAATAGTAGAACTTCTAAAGCATTACTTGGCAGCTTTGTTAATTTTGCTATATACTGCCTTTGTTTTTGTCTTGCTTCATGATTTTTTTTCCTTCTGTTACTCTTACCAGTTTATGATTATCAATTAGTATAAACCAAGAAGTACTTTTTTTGTCTGATTCTTTTACTTGGATTATTGCAAAGGCCTTATATTTGGATCTTTTAATTTCTATTATTTGTGCATTTTTGAATCTTCTGCATATGTTTTCGAGTTTCTTCTTATTTATATCTGTTGGCAGGTCTCAGATTGTTATATGTTTTGTATTCTTTGTTTCTTCTTTTTCAGTGTTTGTATATTCTTCTTCTTGAGTTTTTTCTTTTCTGTAGCTCTTTTCCTTATATTCTGTTATGCTATATTTTCTATTTTGGTATTCATTATTGTGATTTTTTTGTTTTGTTTTTCTTTTTTCTTTGTCCTTTTTTAGTATCATACTGTACCAATCACTTTTTTTTTACTTATTCTTTGTATTGCTTCATTTCTATTATACTTACAGTCAAAGTCTACTTCAATTTACAGATTCTCTTGATTAAAGATTTTTTTAATATTTTTAATATATTTATTGTTTTTAGTAACCATTTGATGAACTTTATATGTTCTTCTTCTGTTTCTTCAGACACATTGTATACTGGTATATTAGTAAATAGGCTGTTGTCTTTGTTGCAACTTCTTTTGCTTGATGCCTATATACTTTCTTCTAATGGAATTTCTGCTATATCTATTTTTCTTTTCATTACATTCTTTCTTTTTTTTTTGTCTTTCTTTCTTTTCTGATGTTAAACCTTGTCTCAATTCTTTATTATACATTTCTATATTCTCTTGTTCTACTTTTCTTGTTTGCTTTTTTCTTGATTCTTTTTCTTGTATCAATAGTTCTTTTTCTGATTGGTTTACCATTTTATTACTTACCTTTATCTTTGCATTTTCCTTTGTAATGAAGTCTTTTTCTTGTAGTTTTTTTTCACTTGTCTTGTCTTTTTTTATTATTCTTTTGATTTTTCTTTTTGTCTTTTGTTTGTCTTCTTGCTTTTCTTCCTTTTTGGCTATTTCTTGTTGCACTATTTCTTTATTTTCTTGTTCTTGAGTTCTTTTAAATTTAATCAGCATTATATTCTTGTCTGCTTTTATAAAGTTATGTTTTTTTTCTGGTTGTTCTCTTTTTGCTCTTTCAATTAATTCTCTAGTTTTTCTTAATAGTGCAACTTCTGCTAAGCTTTGCTCTGTAAGCATGGCCACAATTTTATCTTTTCTGTCTGATGTTACATATATACTACTTGACTGATTGAAGGATATTTATTATGTATCCTGTTTATTGCCTAGTATACTTGTTTCATAAATATTGTTGAGAGACTTTCTCTATGCTTCATTAATTTCATATTCTATTTATATCTACAAACTTTAATTGGTTGAAAAAAAGATATTATAAACAAATAAATAAAGTTAATAAGTATATTATAATAGCAAATTTTATATTTAAGCAGTTAAAATTTATAGTTATAATAATATATATACTACTTAATAATAAGAAAAAGCAAAAAAGAATCTAAAAAGCAATTATAAAAAAATATATTAAAAGAACTTATAGAATATAAACAGTGATTATAAATAATTTAAAATGCATTATACATTTAGGGCTAGATAAGTCTAACATATTAAAATACAACTCTTTTAAAAAAAATTAATTCTAA